GTGTGGGCAAGGTCATCAGTTAACCTAGCCTTTTACATTGGGAATAGAGTTGAGCCTGAGAACCCCAGATCCAAGCTGGGGGATGAGACCTAAGTCACAGAACAGTGATTCCTGAGCTCTGAGTCCTAGGGACTGGGTTTGAAACAAGTCTATCATTTTCCTTCAGGGCTCTTACCACAGATAAAGTTAAATATTTTTTATTCATGTGCTTAGTGTCTGTCTATCTCTCCTACTAGAGTGTACACTCCACGAGAGCAGGAAGGGTGTTTCCCCACAGCTAGCACAATGCCTAGCACAGAGTGAGCACCAGATAAGTGTCTGCTGAAAGAACAAAGTTCACTGCCTGGCTCCGCAGAAGCTACTTGACATCTCTGGCCTCAACTTCACCCTTTCTTTAAGGAGATAATTACCTCCCTATGTCAGAGGGAAGGTATGAAAGACACAAAGAATGATTTAAAGCACATATAACAATAATTCACATGGCTGACAATATGCATAGTCCTTCTGATCTACTCAAGGCTTCATGGATCTCCTTGGAATTTCCTTTCCATTTATTCACTTGATCTTCACAACAACCCACAAGGCAAAAAAAGCAAGAATTACCTTTTCCATTTGATAGTTGGGAGATAGTAAGGGTTACTTCATAGCACGTAATAATTGCAAGGCAGATCCAGGAATAGAACCAGAACTCCAAAATTGTAGGTCAGCTTTGTCCTCCCACAGGTCCCCAGATTCTTCCCTTGACCAGCACCAGACACAGCAGTCCCTGCAATGGACCCCACATAGAGGTAGTGAAAGGCCCTCTCTCCCTCTTTTCTTCCGCAGGTCTCCAGGGGTTGCTTGGCAACCAGCACCCAGCAATAAGTGGCCTCTAGTCAGTTTTGTTGCTGTGGAGCTTTCAAGTCTCCCTCCCTTTACAACTTGTGTGCTCTCACTCTCTATTAATAAGATTCCCCCGTTACCCCCTCCTTCCCACTAAGATTCTCTGATCCATAATAATTAACCTGCCAGGATACAGAGTGGGCTCTCAGGAACCTATGTAAGGGAAGGACCCCAGAGAACAAGGTACTACCAATGCCTTCATCATCCAACATCCCCCAAAGATGACAGAAACTCCTTTTGTGAATGGCCCTGCTCAATGGTGCTCATAATCTTCTCTTCCCTCTCCACTCTGACAATGACTTTCTGAAACTTGCTGGGAGAGATCAAATGGGCTAGAGAAATTTAAATCAACACTTCATGCTGTGTTAGTGAGTCCCTGAATGCTGTTCCAGCACACCTAGAACCACAGCTGGGAACCCTTGGGAGGGGCCCAGTCACCCTTTGCATGTGGATCAGTGGATCAAGAGCAGAAGAGGGAAGGAACCTATCATTTACTGCATCCCTACTATGTACCTGGCACAATATTATGTTAACACCATGTAGTTCCCCCACAACATGCCAGTGAGGACCTGCAGTCAAGGATATTATCTATTCATAGAAGTAAAGTGACCTACCAAAGATCACACTGCTTTAAACAAATCACACAAATTTTGTTTATAAAAGTAAACATATATGAGTAGATATACATTTCTCCCTCTCCCTATACAATTAATTGATCAACAAATTCTGTAAATTCTAGTCCTAAATCTCTCTCCTCATTCCCATCCCTTATGTCATTTTGTCATAGTCTTAGTGTTACGTACCCGATGTTTGTGTCCTCCCAAAATTCACATGTGAAAGCCCTAATCCTGATCGTGGCTATATTTGGAGATGAGGTCTCTAAAGAAGTAATAAGGTTAGTTGAGGTTATAAGGGTGGGACCCTGATCTAATAGGATTATTGTCCATATAAGAAGCAACAGGAGACAGTTCGCTCAATCTCTCTACGTTTGTACACACCAAGAAAAGTCCATGTGAGCACACAGCAAGAAGGCAACTGTCTGTTCTCACCAGACGTCAACCCTGCAGGCACCTTGATCTTGGACTTTCAATATCCACAATTGTGAGAAAATAAATTTCTGTTGTTTAAGCCATCTAGGCTGTGGAATTTTGTTATGGTAGCCAAAGGAGGGCTACCATAACTTAGCTTAAGCCCTTAAAACTTACCCAAACCACTAGTTTCTTTGCCTTGTTCCCATCTACCCTCCAAAATGAAATCAGAGATATTTCAAAAATGCAAATCTGACCTTGTTAAAACCCATCTATGGCTCCCCAATGCCTATGGCAGTATTCTCCAAATTTATACCCCTATTATTAAGAAAAATTTAGGCACAGCATAATATTTGTACATTCACTTAATTTGTATATTTACTTAAATTATATAAATATATATACTTCTGTACACAAAAGATGTTAAAATACATAATGTGGCATAAACACTATTTAAATGTTTACATTTTAGTGTATAAACAGTAAAGAAAACATTTTTTACAGAAATGCTCATATGCATATATGTAAGAAAAAAACCCACGTTCCTAATTTCTTTTTTAGCAAAAGTAATTTAATTGGCTATGTCAAATCTAATTAGATCCTCATTGATTTTACCTCAAAACATGGCCAACAATGAACTTGCGCTAGGAGTCAGAGAAATATTAGTTTAGCCATTTTCTGTGCTCACTTGGGCTCACTATAATTAGTATAGTGTTCAATCAGAGGTTTCTTTGCAGGACTCTTTTAAAGCCACATATCCATTGTGATGGTTCATTTAGTTAAAAGCTGGTAATATAATCAATAAATCCACTTAACCAGGCACCGGAAAACAACAGCAGCGCACAATGGGCTAAAAATGAATGAAGAGTGAGGGAGCCACCACTGCCAGTCCCTTGGAAGGGCAGAATGTCCCTTCCTACCTCAAGATTTTGCAAGTGTAGAATATGTGACCATCTGAGGTGGAGATCAAATAAAGACATCTTTGTCAATCTATATAATAAATATCAGTAAACATATATCTTCAGAGATAAAATAAACACCAGTAGTTTCTTCAACTCCCTAAGGAGCCACTGGGCATCTACCCTCTGATCCACGGCAAGAACCTTTCGTTTGTCGTGCAAGGTCTCCCTAACCCCCAAGCTGCTGCTTGATGGCCTCTCCAGAAAATTTAACTGGGCACCCCCTCCTTGCTCTTTCACAGCCTTGCTCCTGTTAAACTGTCTTGCTGGCCATGCCACAAATATCCTGTGCTCTCACCCCTACTCTGTGCATTGGCTGCAAAGATGTCAGATAACATAAGTGGAAGCACTTGGCACATAATAGGTACTTAATAAATACTTACTGATTCTCACCATGAGGCTGTCAGGCTAGATCAGTGATTCTTCAATTTTAGCGTGCCTCAAAGCCACCTAGAAGGCTTATTATAACACACTGCTGGGCCATTCCCCAGAGTTTCAGATTCAGTGAATCTGAAGAGGGGCCTAAGAGTTTGTATTTCTAACTTCCCAAGTGATGCTGATGCTGCTGATCTGGAAATCACACTTCTAGACCTAATGAACTAAATGATCTGTATAGTTTCTGACATCTCTAATGACTGATAATTCCTCAATGCTTTTAATAGAAACAAAATAAACAAAGTGAACTTTTATCTCTATGTAAATTAATACTTAACATTGTCATACATGGAAGTATGGGCTCTATAAGGTCTAATGTGCTTCTCTGCAGTGTAGAGAAAAGAGCACATAATTTAGAATCAGAAGTTCTAACCTGAAATCTCACTATATAGCTGTGTGGTCAACTTAAGGCAAGTTAATTTCTGTCTGATTCTGAATACTTTTCTTCTGTAAAATAGGAATGTATTAAAATAATAGCTACCACTTGGGGATAATTATAAGGTAATATTAATATATGAAAATAATTTGTAAAAAATACTGTATACAGACTCTACCAATAAGATATATACATAGTGTATTAATTTACTTTTAACAAGTTGAATAATAAGTGACACATTTTGAATACTTTAAATCACAAATTTTCAAAATTTCTAATCTCAGTGCTAATTCATTATTGAAAAGTGTATGATCTATATGTTGCTATATCATCTCAAATACATATATATTTTATTAGTACCACTGCTAAATACCAACAATAGTAACTGTAGTGGTCAGCTTCCAAGATGGTCCCCAACGATCCTCATCCCCCAGGATTCATACTGTTGTATAGTTCCCTCCTACATTAAATCAGTGACCAATAGAACACTCTAAGGCTAAGTAATCAGAGATATTGCCACTTCCTCTTTGGTTTCTTGGATCTCTCCAAGAGCTGTGGGAAGCCAGCTGTCATGCCACGAAGACACTTAAGGAGCTCTGTGGAGGGAGCCACATAGGAATGAACTAAGGACTTTTGCTAACAGCCAGTACCAGACGTCTGAGTAAGCCACCATTGAAGAGATCCTCCAGCCTCACTCAAGCCTTCTGATGACCGTGATCCAAGCCGACATCTGGCTGCAAGCTCATAAGAGGCCACAAGCCAGAAATTAAGCCACTCTCAAATGTTCAAATGTGTGGTAATGAATTATTATTGTTGTTTTAAACCATCAAGTTTTGAAGTGATTTGTTATGCACTGATAGATTACAGATGCAATAGCTAACATCTATTATGCATTAACTATGTCCCAGTAACTATACTAAGCACCCACAGCCCTACGAGGTAGATGCCATTATAATCTCCAAAGAGGAAAGGGTGGCCCAGAGATGTCAAGTAATATAGTCAAGGGTCCACGGCTAGTAAGTGACAGAACTAGAATTTGAATCAAGGTTTCTGACTCCAAAGCTCAGATTCTCAGTCACTCATTCTTACAGGCCAGGATAAGGCCTTATGGGCAGTTAAGCAGCAGAAGTAACTAAGCCCCCAAAGGAGAACAAACTTGTATAAAACCAGCAAGGGGCAGTCCAGGGGCCAGACCAGCAACAGCATTAGTGCCTGATGCTGTAAGACACAGAAGTTCCAAACCGGCCCCACCTCGCAGCCCTGGTACTAGCAGACTAGTCCCCTGTCAGGACAAGCCTGCCCAAGGTGCTCAGAACTCACCCAGATCTGCAGCTTCACTCGCTTCTCATGGCGGTAAACTGTCTTCACCTTGAAGTCGATACCCACAGTGCTGACGAAGGCTGGGGTGAAGGTGTCATCAGCATAGCGGAAGAGGAAGGAGGTTTTGCCAACACTGCTGTTGCCAATGATGAGCAGTTTGAACATGTAGTCAAAATTCTGGTCAGAGGCATCTTTGACTCCGGCTTTACTATCGGTCACTGAAGCCATCTGCAGGAGAGACCTGTGGTCATTCTGGAACACATCTCTAGTGTCACCCTGAGTCACCAACATTTAATGGTCACTTTGTCATTCATATATTAATTCCCCACTCCAGTATCACTCAGGAAACACACACGACTCAGAATCACCCCCTGACTGCAATATCCCAATGTTGTCTCAGGGTTGGGGTGGAACCCAGCTCCTCCCATTCATTCCTTCAGCAAATATTTACTGAGAATATTGCTCTGGGTCAAACCTTGTGCTGCGCATGAGGAATACAAATATGAATCAGACATGGTGTCTGACTTCTAAGTGGCCACAGATTAGAGTAAAAAGTGTGTGAACTCGGAGTAACAAAGCAGTAGCTACGTGATAAGACAGAAGGGGACCTTGGATGAGAAAGCCCACAAGAAGCATCTAGCCTGACCTAGAAGAATGGTGGTCAAAGAGTCCTCCACAGGAGGCAGCTCCTGAGCTGAGTTTTAAGTGAAAAAAGTCAAAACAACAAACACATGAACATTCTAAGAAAGGCTCAGTACAGGATTATCATTCCCATTTCAAAAACTTTTAAGGCTCCCCACAGCTCTGAAGATCGAGCCCAAACTGTTCAACTTGACAAAGAACCAAATGACCAAAGAATAAACTCTCTAAGCCTTATCTTTCCTAAGTCTTCTCTCTATCAACCTGTGCTACTTTTATGCCAAATTACACACTTTACTCCAAATATGCAACATTTTTGATTTTTGTCCCTTTAGATACGTATTCTTTCTTTCTGCCTACACATTCGTCTTCTACTAAACTCCTACTCACCCTTGCAGATCCAATGTACTCTCACCCTCCCTGTGCACAGCAGAGGCATGCACTCCTGTCCCTGAACTCCCAGAGCACTTGAATACCACTTGTATCATTTCAGAACTGTTTATTATTCCAGCTCCTCCTTTACACCACAGATCTGGGACTGAATGTACTTCATTTCTGCCTCTCTAGCTTCCAGCACAAGTCCTAGTACATAATCAGCACTCAGAAAATGTGTGCTGAATTAATAAGAGCCACACCATCACTCCGGGACCCAACCTCATCATCTGGAAAACGGGGAGAACAATATCTGCCCTGCTTTTCTCACAGTGCTATTACAGGACTCAAATGAGATCACAATGAGTAAGGCCTTAATAAACTGGGAAATCCCACACAGGTGTGAACACAAGTCATTATTACTCCAGATCCTTCAAAGCCTAGACCCTTTGTTTATTCACTTGTTCGTTCATTCATTCACTCATGCACCAAGTATTTATTTCATGCCAGGTCTTCTAACACCCTAGCCCTCTCAGACGTGCCACCATCCTTTCCTTTCCCAGAACACTTTGGACCTGAACCCCGTAATTCAGCACTTAGTCCTGTAGTCTTTAATTGCTTTTTCTACATCTTACCAGCCGCAGGTACCCTGCTTCTCCATCTGCAATTTTTCTTGTGTGCAGCACTGGGTACTCAAACAGGCTGGTAGTCAGGGGAGGGTAGGAAGATAGCCCCAATGTGAGGTAATGTACAGGGTATCACTCTCTTTAGGAATTCCTGCTTTTTTTCCCCAAAGGAAAAGAAAGATACTGGTGGATGTATGTCTATGAGCCCCTCCAGAGAGCTGTAAGGACAAGAGGCTAACAAATGTAGAAGGTTTAAAGCTCTCTTGAAGAAAGGTCAGACAAATATGTGAGATAATTTATTAGCAGCCCTTTAACAACACTTCCTTAAATATGCTACCACTAGTCTCTGGTGACCCACAGTTGCATTTCCTTTATCAATCTGTCCCCATGACAAGGCTCACCAGGCAGGTAAGGAGCAAGTCCTGGATCCGTGGCAACTGCGGCATAACATTTACATGGAAGAAGAAAGTAAGATTGGAGGAAAGAGCGCATAAACTGCCTCATAGCCCTAACTTTTTAGTTTTTCATGGTACATGATGCAGAGATGGTTTCAAGAATTGGCGATTTAAAAGAATGCTTTTTTTTAACCTAAAACAGAAGAAGCAACTATAATAACCTTACACTATCCTCTGCTCAACTTCCAGTCATCTTTGTTTACAAGAGAAAAATTCAACTTTGAAAGTACATATTCATTCAAAAAAATTAGAAAAAAGCATAGGAGTATAAAAAAAAATTTAGTTATTGGACACCCCATCCTGTCATTGCTGACATTTTACATGTATTTCCTCTCTTATTTTTTCATGCAATAAAATGCCGTCTATTTTAAATTATACTTTATTATTTGTTAAAAGGTAATACATACATTGGAAATAACTCAAACTTTCACTACTTGTAAGTACTGTTTTATCACCATCTGCAGTTTGCATTATTTTCTTAATTTTTAGCATAAAAATAAGTAATATGGAACATTTACAGTGGGGGGGGGGGAAGACCCCATCCCTGATTCCCAATCTCTGATTCCTCTCCCAGGGGCAAACATGTTACCAATTCATGAACCCTTCTCAGATAGTTTTTGCATACATAAGCATAGAGGTCTGTTTATATTTTTATCTGTATATAATGATAACACACTATACATTCTAGTCTACATTTTCTATGTATATTTTAATAACTAAGATCATATTTTCATTAGTTTTATACCCTGCTTCTTTTCACTTAACATTGTATCATAAATATTTTACTGAGACTTTTAAAACTCTTCATAAATATCACTTCAATCAACTACATTATATTCCATCTAAGGACATGTTATAAGGCCAATTCTTTAATGTTGTATACTTAAAATATTTTTCTATTCTTAATCATTATATATTAAACCACAGTGACCATTCTTCACATAAATACTTGTTCAGTTTCCTATTTATTTCCTCAGGAGAGATCTTAGAAATGGAATTGCTGGTCAAAGAGTAATTTTACTAAAACACAGATTTGATCCATACCTCAATTTCATGTCCATTATCTTATTTTATCTTTTAAGTAAGCCAGGTAAATAAAACTGGAAACACAGAAATTATTATTTCCATTTGCTCAAGAAGGAAACCAAGCCCTGGCTGGTGTGGCTCAGTGGATTGAGTGCCAGCCTGCGAACCAAAGGGTTGCTGGCTCGATTCCCAGTCAGAGCACATGCCTGGGGTGCAGGCCAGATCCCCAGTAGGGGGTGTGCGAGAGGCAACTACACATTGATACTTCTCTCTCTCTTTCTTTCCCTTACCTCTGTCTAAAAATAAATAAATAAAATCTTTTTTAAAAAACAAACAATTGCATTACTTTTGAAAAAAGAAGAAAAAGAAGAAGACAATGACGACAAAGAAAACTAAGAGGCAGAAATTAAGAGGATTTGCCCAAGCCTCACAGCTGACAACTGAGGCTAGACTTGGTACCATGCAGTGTTATGGAAAAGTTCAAAATCCCTGTTCTACACCTCAGCTGAATTCTTGGGCAAGTCATTTGGCCTCTGTACCACACCACCTACTTCAAATGGCTGTGGTACAAATAGAATGAGCAGTTACCATATGTAAATAATCTGGCATAATTTCCTGGCCCATGGGAGGCACTCAATAAATATTATTTCAAGGGCCACTTTAATTTGCTTCTGCAATCAAATCTGTTTAACTGTCCTCTCCCTGATCTGGGCTATATTATTTGAGCTTATTTTACAATTAACTATCTGCCTCCTCGTCCGGTATAAGCTGAGTTGTATCCATCCTTACACTTGTCAATACCTGACTTATAGTAAATCCGTAGGGCATATTTTTCCTTTCAATAAACATTTAGTGAGCATTTTCCATATGCCAGACTATAAATGTAAATGTTATATTATTGGTCTTCATTTTTCTAAAGCAGCTGTTTACACTCTTAGATTCCCAAAATTAGAAGGGATTTTGGAGTGGCAGCTTTATCATAACAAAAAGCCTGGCTCCTGGTCCCAGTTTTCCCAGTAACCCAATGTAAGAACTTGGGCAAGTCACTTCATCTCTGAGCTTCAGTTTTCTCATCTATGATATATTACCTACTTTGTAAGGCTGCTGTGAATTTCAAATAAGAGAATGTATATAAGGGTGCTTTGGGTGTGCACTGTGTGAAGAAAAATACATGTCGCCTCACGTAGAATCAGCCTTTATCAGCTATGTCTGCCACGGGTGTTAGGGTGAGGAGTAAGGCAAAAGTGAAAACCAGTTTCACTACTTGCCTGATACACTCCCCTTCATTTTACAGGTCAAAAATTGAGGCTGTACAAAGAGAAGAGATTTGTCCAAAGTAACACAGCAAGTCACGACCAGAACTTCTGTTCTCTAATGACTCCCAGATTGGACTAGATGTAGGGGGAGGGGACCCAACAATTTTAAAGTGAGTGAAGAAGCATCCCCAGAGCCCCAGGCATATGGGTGTTTCTGTCCTAGCATACTGTACTGTCAACATCTATTTATGGGCACACAGTGTAGCTTTCCCAGGAGGTGGTATCAGAACAGGGAGAGGAAGAGGGTAGAGAGGCTCAGTGAGAGGGCACATTCAGAGGTAAGCCCCCAAGGGGATCTTCTCAATATGAAGGCAGGGGCCACGCAGACATTTGAAAGAGAGGTAAAAAGCATCCCAGCGAGCAACTATCTGAGGCTGATCTGAGCAGACAGGTCACTGCACATGGCACATGCAGAACCACTTATAAGATAAGCATCAACCAAATCTTCCCTCTCTTTTGTGACAGTTACATAAATGATAGAGCCAGGTAGCTCACTGTCCCCATGACTAGCAACATAGATGAAAGCCCAGGACCATCTGGGAAGTCATTCCTCATTCCTGACTAGGGGAAAGAAGAAAATGGCTCCTCTAAGGGTTGGTGTGAAAAATAAATGTGTTCAGTCTCATAGGCAGCAGAAATAAGCACCTAAGGAAGAAACCAACTTCAGCCGGGGAAGAGGGGGGAAAGCAGAAGAGAGCCCTACAATCCAGCAAGAGGAGATTCACTCAATACATGCAGCAAATAAGTGAATGGATGAACTTCTCTCTTGATGGAAAAAGCATAAGATTGAGTTGAGACCTGGGTTGAGCCCTACCTCTATCAGCAATTGCATGACCTTAGGTAAATCACAGCCTGGGCCTCATTTTCCTCATGTGTCTATGAATTAATAAAATAACCTCCTGTAAACTGTTGTAAGAATTAAATCCAGTCTATGGGCGAGTGTTTTAGAAAACACTTAATGTGTGTGTGTGTGTGTGTGTGTGTGTGTTTGCGTGCGCACACACTCTATATTTTCTTCTACCAGGTCATCCTGGGTAGTGGAAATAGCTTGGGGTTCCAAATCAAACAAACCAGAATCAGTTTCCAGGTCTATCACTAATTAGCTGTGAGACTGTGACAAGAAATTGTATATGACTAAAACACAGTTTACTCATTTGTAAGAGCATTGTTGGAAAGGCTGTAGTCAATGTTGGTAAAGCACCTAAACAGTATATGATATATAGGAGGTGCTCAACAAATGTAATTCTGTCTCCCTATTGGGAACATTTATCAGTGAAGATAAAGAGGGAGCTGGGCATATGCGGACCTCACTCTACTATATCAATCTCCTCCCTAAAGCCATACTCTACTAATTTGTCTAATTCAACTTTTCTTTAGATCATTCTTCACTGCCAATCCACCACCACCAGCCTAGCCTACCTCCTCATTGTTTCCCCACAGGAACAATATAATAATAGCTACCATTTTTTGAGTACCTATTAAATGCCAGGCACTCTACCAGGTATTTCCAATGCCCTCTATCTTGCATACAATAGAAATATGGAAATGTTCACTTCCTTCTTTCTCCAGACTGGAGAGAGAGCCATGGGTGTGACCACAGACAGAATGTAGGCACACCTATATAATAACATCAGTGGCCTTTCTCTTTTGTACAGTGCTTTATGGCTTATGGAAGTTCTTTCACCCATATTATCATATTTGATCCTCACAATTCTTGGGGGTAGATGAGGCAATTGAGGCAGTAGTACAACCACAGCTCAATTATTCATTCAACTAACATTCACTGAGCACATACTGTGAACCAGGTCCTGTGCTGCCCTCTGGGAAGATGAAGAACAACGGTAAGTTCAAACTTAGATGGGAACCTTTTTAAACATCTTCTACAGGTTACTGCTGCCTTCCTTCATATCACAATCCTTAAGAAAATGGAGATTTATTTCTTGGACTAGAGGTCATTTTAGATTTTTGGCTTCTCCCATACTGTTTCCTCTGATAGGAACGTACTTTCTTCCACTGCTAGCTAAATCCTTCATGACTAGAGAGTTTTCCCTGACCCACTGTCCTCTAGCAAAATGTCTCTCCTCAGGTCTTCCTATTACCATAGACAGGGTTTTTCACCCTTTACATGTGCAGAACAGGTGGGCCTCCACCTGTGCTCGCCCGCACACACAAACACACACACACACCCACACACACACACACACACACACACACACATCTAACTCCTTCTACTATCTCCCACCCCTTTCCATCTAGATTCTGAGAAATTGGGATGAAAGGGCCTGTCTTTCTCCCATCTTCCTCCACATTATCAGCTTCCAGGGGCTGCTGCTCTGCGCTCCCTAAAGTCTCTTCTCACACTTGGACTCCAAAACAGAGTCCGCCTGTGGATGAATTCTTCTGTCCACAATTCTCTTCTTGCCTCTGATCCCAGGTGCCAGTGTAATAAGGTCCAGTGTCTGCACCCTCTTCTCATCCTTCCGAGGTGTTAAGACACCGCCAGAGACTGGGTGCCCATGGACTCCCCTATGGGCCCCCGTCATCTTCCCACAACCCACATCTGGCCTCCTCCCCAGGCTGACCCAGCCCCCACCACCCTAAACTCTCCAAGTTCCCTGACAGTTCCTCCACTCAGCCAGCAGACCCCCGCTCTATCCCCGTGCTCTCCACGCTCCACCTGGCTGGGACTCAGGCGCCCGCTGCCCACACCCAAGGCCGCCGCCTCTCCTTCGATCCGCTCCCCACCCTGCCTCTGCGGGCCGGGCAGACCCACCCGGGGTCCCACCTTCCCATTCTTCCAAGCTTTCCACCTCCCAGCCCAACCTTCGCCCCCGACTCAGGTTACCCGCCTTGCCGGTACCCAGCTGGGCTCCGGCTCCGCATCCTTTCCGCCTGCAGCTCTCCACACCCAAATCTCTGGTTCCCGACCAGCAGCCCCGCTCCTGCTCAGAGCCCCTTCCCCTCATCACCTCGCTCCTCTCCAGCTCAAAACGAGCCCCCCCGCCTCAGCTCGTGGCCTCCCCGCCGCCCCTCGCCCTAGCTCCGCTCAAGCCTCGGGCTTCAGCAGCCCCTTAACCGCCCCTCGGCTGCCGCGCACCCTCTGCCCGCACGCCCCTCTCACTCCCTCCTCACATCTCCCCGCCCCCAACGCCCTGCTTTCCCCTCACTGCGCTCCCGCGGCCCCTCACCATCTCCCCCAGCCCCGGTGCCCCTTTCCTTGCTCCCGCACTCCTGCTGCCCCCCGCCCTCGGGGCTCCCGGTGCGGCCTCACGGTTCGGGAAGACACTCCCTCAGCGCCTCCTCCCCAGGCTGCGCGCCCCTTCATAGCCGCGGTGCCCCCTCCTGGGCGGCCTCCCCCCAGCCCCTTTTCCCGTGTCCCCTCTGCTGCGCTGCGCCCTTCTCAGTCAGTGCCCGCTCGCTGTCCCCGGCGCCCCGAGCCAACGAGCGGTCCCTGGTCCTCCCCCGGCGGGGCGCCGGGGCCGCGCCCCTTACCTGGGACTCCGGGTGCGGGAGAGCGGATCGCTCCCAAACGGCGCTGCGGGACGGCCGGACAGGGCGGCGGGCGGCGGACGGTGGGGGGCGCAGCCGGGTTCGCGGAGCGGGGTGGTGCAGGTCCCTGCGGGTCCGGTCTCGTACCCACCGCGACGACTTCTGGCTGAGGCTCGGGCTACAGCTACGGCCGCGTTCAGGCCCCCCCCACGCCCCGCCCAGGGGCGGAGTCCGTGTGCGTCCCGCCCCAGCCCCTCGCGGCCCACAGGTGTAGGGAATTCTTGTGTCTTGAGGGCCCTGAGCTCCCCAACATCTTGGCAGTCGTGATTTATCTTAATTCCCACGCCTCGTTCCACAGTCTGAACTTACTAGGGTGATCAGAGTTTTGATGATAATGCAGGTGATGCTGGGTACCGAGATTTGCGATTTCCAAAGCACTTTGCTGTCCGTTACATTGCTTCATCCTCACTAAAGCCTAGGGAGAGACGCAGAATCCGGACTGATGCTAACTACAAGAGGAAACTCAGCCAAAACCCTGGGCATTGTCCTATACGCTGTGCTCTACAACCCATCAGTCTGGCAATAACACCTCTTTAACATACCCTACCTATGCCTTCCCCTCCTCTCTGTATCCACTGTCCTCACCCTGGTTCAGGCCTCATCATTCCTTGCTTGAACTAATACAACAGTCTCCTAAATTTGTCTCCTGGCCTCCACTCTCCAATCCATTCTCTACACCAGCAGCCTGAGTGATCATTCTAAATGTCCCCATAATACCATCCTCTTGTTAAAACAAAAACAAAATTTTCAATGGCTCCCCATTATCAGAAGCAGCCTAAAGAGAGAAAAGTGTTCTTCCCTGGTCATTAGAAAGTCCCAGCTCCACCAGAGGAGGCAAGTACAGGAGGTAATTAGCACCGTATCTGCCCATCCTGACCTTGACTTCAAGTCTTCCTTAGGTCGCAGGAGCCAGCTGCCAGCTTTGGTTTAGAATCATTGTCCTTTCCCACACTCTCCCCTCATCCCAAATCTTAGAGGTCTGAGTTGGATAGCAAAACCATATTTTGCCACAGTTCCATCATGGGCCTATCTACAATTTGTCTCTCCAGTTTGGGGAGCCACCCAATTGGCAGCCCCTCTGGTGGTCTGACTTCTCTGTCAGACTAACCCTTACACTGTCCTGAGCTTTTCCACCCCCTACCTTTCATTCCCACCGTCCAGCTTCTGGCAGCTCTTTCCACTGTGCCCTCTTGAATATGGTTCCTTTGTCAGCAGACTCTCCTACAGCCTTTGCTTCTTCAGAGAGTACTCAGATTACTTCTTTGCCTTTATTGAAACTTTACCCTCCTCCAGGATTTCTCTTGTAGTCCCCTGTAAGAGGGCTTCTCATTTTTCCACTCCCCTCACATCATAAAACCAGGAGGTGGGGTCAGAACTGCTACTTCCATACTTGTAAAAAATCCCTTTTCTGGTGTCTGGCTATATCTCCTTCTACCCCTCCCCATCAAGGACATCAATGACCTCCAACTGCTTCTTATGCATTGATGATTTCAGCCCCTGGCTCCTGGACATCCTCAGTAGCCCCTGTCCTGCCATCCTCCTGGTGACTTCAGTAGCCATTTGGCTTCCTCAGTCCTTGGTCTCTTCCTATCACCTTGGCCACTGGTTCCCATGGTCACACTCTGAACTCTGGAATCACCCGGAACTAGTGCATCTGTGATCTTTTAAATCAAATGTCCTATGCTGCCTGCTCTCTCACTCCCTTTCTCCCACAAGACCCTAGTTTCCTCATTTCAAAATGGGTGTGATGATAATGATTATTCATTCTTCACAGGAATAATGAGATAACATATAAAACCATCCTTTTACAGTTGCAGAACAATATGAGAACAGATGGCATTGTGTTTATGTAGCCTCGGGTCTTCTGATTACTTTCTCCTCCTTCCCCTGAAAGGCCATGTATTAAAATGGAAAGAACACAGACTTGGGACCAGACAGATTTGGTTCCACCACTTGCTTGCTGGGTGAGCTTATGTAAACTACCTAATTTTTCTGACACAGGCACCTAATTCTCATTTGTAGAAATAGCATAGTGAAAGCTAGATCCCAGGGTCATTGTGAAGATCAAATAAGTAAATGAGATAGCAACTGGCAAGCACATGACAGAGTGCCAGGCACACAGAAAGCACTCAAGAAATAGGAAACACTGTCGTTATTATAACAGAAAAAGTACTATTTTTAACCACAACTACCTTCTAAGAAGGATAGACCCTAATGCTCAGAAGGTCCTTTTTCCTACTTATGGCCTTGAGGAGTGTGAATATGTAAGGGTGGAAGGAGAAGGGGGGAGCACTAAATAGAAAGGAGAACAAATTGGAATTCACTTTGCAAAATGTGAGGGAGAGTTGATAAAGAGAGCTGGGGTGGGGGAGAAGGAAAAGGGAGCGTAAGAAAATCAGTGTAAGGATAGGTGCTACATGGGTAAAGGGTCAGAAGAAACCCTCCCCTAGCAGGTGGACAAAGGGGTGTTTAAACACCGGAATACACGAGGAACAAATTGTCTATCACACATCTAATGTAATGGCATTCTTGCCTCCAAGAATTCAGTATAGGCTGTTACACTCAGAAATGCTTTCTGAGGGAGGGGAGTTGTGAGATGAGAAAGCAAATTGAGCAATGGGTTTTGTTTTTCTGAATTGAAAAGGGGGACTAGCAGCTGAGAGACTATGAAAGCACAAGCCCTAGTGAAACTGGCAGAAATATCCTGGAGGGCTTCAAACTTGCAAGGGTTATAACATGTGAAAACTGGGCTTCAATCCCATTGCATTTAGATCTTAAAGGGGCAGAGAGGCCACACTTGGGCTGTATCACTTATGCCCCAATAGCTACATCCCTACTGACTAGCAGATGACCACCAGAGGGAAGAATGAAACAAATCTAATTATATTAGACTTTCTTCATTTCCAATTCCAAATGCCCGAGTAAGAATAGCAAGAAAGATAAAATTCTACCTTTTCCTTTGGATCACATTGGTTAACAATTATAATCATTAAGACCTTAAAATACACTGGGCTCAATCACATCTTTTACCTCATTTAGTCCTCAATACAATCATGCAAAGTATTGATTGTCCTTCCTTTTCTATAAATGAGGAAACAGAAGTCAGAAAGTTTAAGTGACTTGTGAAGATCATACATCTGGTCAATAACAGAACAAGATTAGACTCCAGAATTATGTATGCTTAGTGGACACCATTGTGATTAAGAATCCTACAAACAAAATTTCTTTAAATGTTTTTTACTTCCCAGAGTAATCAGTTGTTTTTTCTAGCTCCTCATTTTTACATGAAATAAAAATAATTGATGCTTTATGCTTTTTATTGAATGAGAATCAGTCCCTTAGAAAAGGTAATAGTGTGTGTAGGTGTCATTTGAAATGCTTAGATCTTCACAACGTTCAAATCTATACTCCAGTGAAGTCCCTCATGGCCAACCTAGGGACTCAGAAGTGTTGACAGGTCAAATATTTTTGTTTGAACCCATCAGTGGGTTGTCTCATGCAATGAGGGAGCTGGAGGAGGTACCAGAAGGTTGCCAGAATCCGTGCGCAGCTCTAGAAACATAGGGTTCAATGAGAGGAGTGGTGGAAGACAGGGCTGGAAACAGAGGTAGGGTCAGGTTGTCTAAGGCCTCATAAATCATATTAGAGATGTGGGAATTTACATTGCAAGTAAAAGGTTTGAAAAGCAATGGAGTAACATGTTTACATATACATGTAAGTAAAATTGCTCTCACTGTGGTATGACAGATTAGATGGGAAGGGTAGGGATGAGAGAGAGAGGCAATAGGTAACACAGAGATTTCTGTAATAATCCAGGTGAAAGATGAAGAGAATCAGAACTCACATAATAGCACCGGGGAAAGTAGAAAGTAGAGGGGTTTGATGTGTATCTAGGAGGTAAAATTCCCTGGACTTAGTGACAGATTAAATGTGAAATGTGAAAGAAAGGGAGTTGGTATAAGTGACCGGGTAGACAGACAATGAAGCCATTTACTGAAAACAATTGCTGCCTAACAAGCCACCTCCCAAAAATCAGTGGCTTAAAATTGCAATATTTTATTACTTCTTACAGTTCTGGGGGTGGCTGAATAGATTCACCTGCTGATTTTACCTGGAATCCCTCATAAGCAGCGTTCAGCTGGAAGGTCAACTGGACTAGGAGGTCTCAGATGGCCTCCCTCATAGGTCTGGCAGTTAGTGCTGGCTGAGGGCTGGATGTCATAGTTCTTCTCCATGTTCTAATCCACCAGTAGGTTGGACCAGCTTACCTAGTGATCTTGGGGAAGTGTTCCAAGAGGGTGAATGCAAAAGGTACAATCTCTTTTGGCCTAGCCTCAGAAATTGCATGACATCACATATACTTTATTCTATTGGCCAAATCAAGTCACAAATCCAGCCCAGATTGAAAAGAGTAGAGAAATAAACTCCACCTCTGACTGGGAAGAAGAGCAAAGTTGCATCACAACGGATGGATACAAGGAAGGAAGGAATCTATGACCTTTAACCAGTCTCTCACAGTAGTGGGAATAGATTTGGATAATAAGAAAAAATGGTGAGTATCTCAAATGCCATTTCAGGTACTAATCATTTCCTCTTTCTCTGAGTTTCAGTCTCTTCCTTTGTAAAATAAATGAATGAGCAGGTCCATTCTCTTCCCACCTGCATCAGTTTATGAGGTGAAACTGGTTAAAATGCACACTGAGGACACTCTCAATCACCAGGACACACTGCTGTCAGCTGGGGTGGGATCTGAGACACACACAGGGAAACATGCAACATTTAAATAGTTAGAACGTAGTTACCATCCATCACCCCTCCCTTTCCCTCAGCCACCCTGCCGAAGCTTCACTAAAGCCAATCCATTCTATCTCCTGAGAGCTCTCCATTCCATTCTTTCCTCTCCATTCATGTCATAGCCTCCTTACTATTCTATCCTCATGAGAGGCTAGGGGTCTTCCCAAACCCAGCTTAAAATCCCTCTCTTTGCCCTATTTGAAAGTCCATCTGTTTAATATACACATATGGCTCCTTGTGG